AAATCTGCAAACTGGTGATAAAAAAAATAGGTGGTGGGTGGGAGCGCGGGGGGGGGGGGGGATCGTTTCTAGGGCAATCCAGGCTGAAATGGGTGCCTCGAGCATGTCATGATACATCAAAGCCACAAGTGTGCTCCTATCTACAACTGTGACCGTGTTCTGATTGGTCTACACAAATATAAGTTTTTAAATATAGTGAATCTCTACTCTATATCTCTCCTCCCCCCCCCCCTCTATTGCTCTCCCTCTCCCCTCTCTGTTTTCCTCTCTCTATTCACTACACTCTGAAGGACCGAGTGTGCGACGGGCCTGCAGTTTTAATTCATAACTATTTGAAAACAGAGTTCGTCCGTTCGTTCGTTCGTTAGTTCGTTCGTTAGTAATAGTTCTCTGGCCATATTGTTCATAGATCGCTCATTTTATAATAAAAATATCAAATTTTCAAACACATAAAACGTTGATAAGACTAGTCGTTTATGTGGCTCTGAAACATGTAGCACAACTAAAAGAGATGGTTTATCATTGTTGTTTTTTTTTAAACATAGTATTACAACACATCATTGGACCTATCACAGATGTACACAGCAGGGAATGGAGTGTGAGAAGCAACAACGACATTTATAATCTGTTTAAATCACCATTGATCATTGGCATCAAGACAGCTAATAGGTTGAAATTGCTACGGCATTTTGAGGAAATGGCAGATGTCAGAGAGGTAAAAACTGCCTACACAAGAGAGATGAATAGTCGTAGACCACGAGGCAGACCACGAAGACAATGGAGATGTAATGTCCAGACAGACCTGTAAACACTTGGTGTTAGCAACTAGAAAGAGAAGACCAACCAAAGAGATGAGTGGAGGCGGGTGATATCAGTAGTAATCAACCTCAATGGTTCGGAATGCTGAAAAAGAAAAAGAAAAATATCAAATTTGCACAATATTCCAATATCCCTGCTTACGTTTCAAAGCTAAATTTACTTACTGCTGTCTCTCCTTGACTCTTGTCTTCGATATTTATTGTAGTTAGCGCATTTGTTTATAAATGTAACTTAAATAAATCTGTATGTGTGCATGAGCAACAGTTCTAGATTCTAGAGTATTGGGGTTGATAGTTCACTTGTGTGTGTGAAATATATGACGTCGACGTAACGTTCTCCAATAGGAACTGTGTTGCACGAACATGGCAGAAAGTGCGCAAACAGTTCATGTAGTATGGTAAGTTGTAGTAGCTCGTAACTATAACTTTATACCAAATCAATTAAAAAAATATCAATAGCAGACCACATGAATGAGAGACCTTAATGATGTTGTTTTACGGAAAAATATTAATGGTTTCAGATAATATGTGTATGTATATAATTTTGTTGTTCGTCCTTCACGAGTGATGGTTCATTACATTACACTCAAAGCAAAGGCAGGACGGACATATAACCAAAATACGACCGGTTCCATTATTATTGGAACTCTGCGGTGGCTGCTAAAGGTTAGGACGAGGCACACATGGTAATGCCCCGAGTGCTGTAATGTCAGTTTTTGACTCAACTAAGCACAGTTCAACTCAACACGAGAGATGAAACCCTTTTTTTTTAATCCAAGTAGTAATGATCAATGATGAAGGTGACTGATTAGTCAAATACGAGTCTGAAAAGTTCTTGAGCTGTGCGGACAACAGGTGGAAGCCACAGTAAGTGTGGGATTAGCGATGCTGTTCTTTCTGGTCTGCCTCCGTTCTCTCTGTGCAACCTCCACTGTCTGGGAAGCTGATGCACTCTGCCTAAGGGATGTACACCATTCAGAACGGTCCTGTGCAGCAGCCTTCCATGTCGCTGTGTTGATGCCAAAAGAATTGAGAGTGTCCTTATAGCGCTTATTTTTTTGGGTCCTCCCTGGGACCTCTTTCCTTGCTAGAGCTTCCCATCTAATACTCTCTTATGAGGCGATACTCGCTCATGCGAGCTAAGTGACTAGCCCGAGTCAGCTGATAGTTTTCAGTATCGCCTGGTTGATAGGGAGGTTAGTCCTACGAACAACTACAATTTGATTTTGAGCAGTTTTCTGAGACAAGTTATAAGAAAGTGGTTCAACATTTGAGCACTGTGCTGAGACACAATCCAAGCGTCGAACAGTACTGGAAGAATACAGCAGTGTTAAAATTTAGTTTGGTCAGCATGGAGATACCACTTCTGTTCCAGACTCTGGTATAAAGTCTGGCAAAGCTGCAACAGACCTTTGAGATTCTAGAGGTGATCTCGTCGTCCATGTTGAATCTGTGAGATAGGCTACTACCAAGATAAGCGAATCTATCGACTAAATTTAGCTGTTGATCATTTAATGTTATAGCGGGATTACAGTAAATGTTTTTCTGGGAGGGGTTCATTAATAACAACAGTTTTATCAGTATTGATAATTAGTTTAATTGAATTTATTTACTTGGTCATGTATGTAAGTCATTCATTTTTCTTCCCCACTTTTCGCATACGCCGTCTAAATTTTTTTTTTCGTATTATAGCCTTCATATTCATAATTTTCCCCTTATTACGTGCTTCTTGGTTTCACGCTGATCTTATTTTGTTGTTGTTGTTGCTCGATTGTCTGGCCCGTGGAATTTTATAGGAACTGTTTGTGCTGTTGTTTAGTACTCCTTTGATAAAGACCTTGGTCGAAACGTTCAGTTGTGTTTGTGTTCGTCTTTCGCACTCCCTCCATTGAGTTTTCTAGTCACATTTTGGGTTATGTTTAGCATTTGTAGCACAAGTAGACCATCACAGTCTACAGGGAATGCTGCAGCAGGGAATGACCAGGGGTCTAGGCCAACATGTGCTGCAGGCATACAGTCGCCGGGCATGTGTTTATATGTCTATACTCTCTCGTCTAGGCAGGTGTTGACGTGTACAGTGTGCTGCAGACATACGATCATCAGGCATGTGCTGCAGGCATACAGTCGCCGGGCATGTGTTTATATGTCTATACTCTCTCGTCTAGGCAGGTGTTGACGTGTACAGTGTGCTGCAGGCATACGGTCATCAGGCATGTGTTTATGTGTCTATACTCTCTCGTCTAGTGTACAGTGTGCTGCAGGCATACGGTCATCAGGCATGTGTTTATTTGTCTATACTCTCTCGTCTAGTGTACAGTGTGCTGCAGGCATACAATCATCAGGCATGTGTTTATGTGTCTATACTCTCTTGTCTACGCAGGTGTTGACGTGTACAGTGTGCTGCAGGCATACGATCATCAGGCATGTGCTGCAGGCATGCGATCGCCGGGCATGTGTTTACATGTCTATACCCTCTCGTCTAGGCAGGTGTTGACGTGTACAGTGTGCTGCAGGCATACGGTCATCAGGCATGTGTTTATGTGTCTATACTCTCTCGTCTAGGCAGGTGTTGACGTGTACAGTGTGCTGCAGGCATACGATCATCAGGCATGTGTTTATTTGTCTATACTCTCTCGTCTAGACAGGTGTGGACGTGTACAGTGTGCTGCAGGCATACGATCATCAAGCGTGTGTTGAAGGTCTGAAGACATGACATCAGTGACGTCAGCTACAACTATTCTTATTATTTTTATTATTCTGCATTATAGTAAGTACTAATGTGTTAGCCTCCTCGCTTGTCATTGTTACAGTTCGCTATTATTATACTGCTGTTATTATTTTTTAAAATCTTTTCATTGATTGTTTTCTTCGTCTCCTTTCGAGATGTCGTTGCTGAAGCTACGGTGTTCGCGTTTTGGGCGAGCACCTTCACTGTCAAATTCACTCAGCCGTAAGGGAGGAGACTCAACGTAATAAAGTACACTATCGTCTTTTGAAACACGTTTTGTTCGTAGACGGTACCCAAGTGATTGTTTTTTTCTATGAAGTATAACTGCAATCTTCCAATGGCTTGAGAACCAGCTATATGCTCATATCGTGATTGTAAACATACTCACACAGGATGCTGGTTTCTGCAACTATTTTCTCTATGCCAGTCGACAGTCCATCGTGCACACTAGTGGTTATTTTATTACACATATGATATGCCACATGGCAGATCCTTATTGTTGTATGTCATAATCGACTCCAATGATAGGTTAAAAACAGCTCATGTGAAGCAGATTTTTTCAGTGTCTGTTGTTTTCTATGCTATGCTTTAATAGAGGTAAACTTTTTTGTCTTAGAAAAAAGTTGTCAGTGTTACATGTAGCCATTATTTAACTATGAAATGATGTACGCATAAATAACTGTATGCAAGGAGTGGACTGGAAGGGCAGTATGTTAGACCGGCCTGTTTAAGTTCTACTTTGTGCTCTTTATAATGCGTTGAATAGGTTGATTTTGAACAAGATAATTCCTGATTTAAATCCTTCAATCGTTTATTATGTGCTCTTCCCCGTTGTGTTCGGCCTATATTACTGCATTGTGTCTCTTTGTGGCAGCGGGTACCTGGTCAGTCTTGTGAAATGACCAGATCTTCCTACCTGTTGCTCTTTAATGAACTGTGAGACAAGTTTCAGTTCGTCTTCCCGAATGTCAATTAGTCTATCAAATGACTGGAAGACATTGACAATCTGAAAGGTTAAATGAAAGCCACGACTTCAACGGGAGCAGCGGAAGCATAGTGGTTAGCGTCTTTCCTCACTACACGGAGGTCCTGGTTCTAAGGCCGAAAAGTCATGTGAAGTAAAGACAGCCATCGTGATGTTGAAAATTATTGGTCTATACGAATCTTGGTTTAGCAGCATTTGCCCGACTGAGCACTTCATTGTACAAGGTTCATTAACGATGAGGTCTTGGAATGTTTACCATATCAAAGAGTCAGCTGATGAACGCATTCAGAATGAAGTTATGAGGGTAATTCTGGGATGCACAAGAGATACCCTGGTAGTATTTTGTTAGATTGGTCTTATATGAGGTTATGTAGTGTTATTAGCGAATGTATGTCAACTGTCATACATAAATACCCAGCGACCTTCCATTAGACAGTTTTACTACACATTTTTTTTTTAAAATTCACAGCCCAGGTTCAAAAGTTTGCCCTGATGTGTATTTATCGAGCCGAAACCAGAAATAGGACGAGCATTGCCCAGTTCAACGTAAAGGACATCAACTTCACCCTGTGTACACATTATCTTTATGCTTACGGATGTGTTAACAGTTTTAAATTATTATGTGCTGCGAGCCCTGAACTGGAGGAAGGGCCGACAGGATATTTTAGGTAGGAAATTCATTTAGTTATTTAATGTTACTGTATTTGCCGACGGTTGCAGATAGACACAAGGTGCTGCAGGCAAAGTCATATCTCAGGGTAGCTGCAGACACAGACCACCCTCTGCATGAAGCTCTGGGTGCAGTTAAGGGTCAGAAGCTGATAAGAGGGACGTCATGGATGGCTCAGGCAGAAGACACAATATGACTTATTTGCATCCTTGAGAACATTAGGCGAGGAGAGGAGTGGGCCAAAGGCCACCTGAGCAGTCAGACTTGTGTAGAGTCATATTCACGCTGAGCCGGCAATGCAGAGACTGGCCAGCAGGTGCCACAGAGGTGGAAATTCAGCAATTAATTCAAGATAATGCTCGCTCAGAGGATTTGATCGTTTACACAGACGGTTCAGTGTCAAGAGGCAAAAGACGTGCTTGGGGCTTTTTAGCAAAAGTTAATGGTCGACGTTTGGTGCAGGAGAGCCTAGCATATGATACCACAACATCCAGCTTAAGAAGGGAGGCGGTCACTGCAGCTTTCCGCTGGCTAGAGAACACGACACACACACACACATCGCGATTGTAACTGATTCAGAAAGCATGCTGAGGAAGGTCAGAACAGGAATGCTTCGTGCAGAGTGGCATGCTTCGCTGCGGAGGACACGAGTGAGTAGTATTGTCTGTATTTTTTCACCGGGTCACGCCGGTGTGTTGAGAAATGAACAGGCGGACAGACTTGCTGGCTCTGCACTTGGTCTAATATTGCTACATGATAGGGCTGACGTGGTTAGTGCCTTGTGGGAGAGTGTGTACAATTCGGAGGAGCAGATGGATCACCACAGTCTGGTGAGAATGATGCAGCTGGGGGTGACGAGAGGTTCTGGCAGATGCTCGAGGCTCAGAGGAAAGGCAAGACTGACGTTTAATCAGAAAGCTACTGGCACCATTAGTATCAGATTTTTTCGCTGGCTGCTGAAGATTGGGACGGAGCGCTTATGGAAATGCCTCGAGCGCTGTGATGTCGGTTCTTGAATCAAATCAAATCAAATCATGTTACTGTATTTAGTACAGGGTGCCTGATGTGTCAGTGGATTGAAGCTTCCTCTTTACTAAAATACGGAAAGGAACATTAGCGTTATAAAATACCAAGACTTGATGGCTAGGTCATGTCCTTAGACATGAGGACACACTTATAAGAACTTGGGGGAAAGGAGAGATGCGGTGGGCGTGCGGGGCGCTCAAAGTACTTCTTGTGTTCGAGCCACTCTATTGCTGGGTTGTGGCGGTGTCAGGGTTTTGCTGTCAATTTTCGTAGGCTTTTTCGGAGTTAAGCCAAACCATTTGATTTTCTCTCTTTCTTTCTCTCTTTTATTCGCTCTATTTCATTCTCTCACAACGTCATGCGGGTACCGTCTTGTTCCAGCCTTCACTCCAAAGCTAATAATGGCGATCTTGTACCTTCCGGTGCTATTCTTGATCTTTAGGGAGCAGTGAATTTTACCGCTGATTGTTGCCTGCCTCTGAAATCTTCCCAGTGCTCATATCTGGCACTGACTGTATAAGGGGAGAAGAGTTGCTAGTTTCCGTTAATTCAAAGAGAGCCAACTGTGTGTCTGAGCAGGGGTTGCTAGTTTCCGTGTAACTCAAAGAGAGCCAACTGTGTGTCTGAGCAGGAGCTGCTAGTTTCCGTGTAATTCAAAGAGAGCCAACTGTGTGTCTGAGCAGGAGCTGCTAGTTTCCGTGTAACTCAAAGAGAGCCAACTGTGTGTCTGAGCAGAAGTTGCTAGTTTCCGAGTAACTCAAAGAGAGCCAACTGTGTGTCTGAGCAGGAGTTGCTAGTTTCCGTGTAACTCAAAGAGAGCCTACTGTGTGTCTGAGCAGGAGTTGCTAGTTTCCGTGTAACTCAAAGAGAGCCTACTGTGTGTATGAGCAGGAGTTGCTAGTTTCCGTGTAACTCAAAGATAGCCAACTGTGTGTCTGAGCAGGTGTTGCTAGTTTCCGTGTAACTCAAAGAGAGCCTACTGTGTGTATGAGCAGGAGTTGCTAGTTTCCGTGTAACTCAAAGATAGCCAACTGTGTGTCTGAGCAGGTGTTGCTAGTTTCCGTGTAACTCAAAGAGAGCCAACTGTGTGTCTGAGCAGGAGTTGCTAGTTTCCGTGTAACTCAAAGATAGCCAACTGTGTGTCTGAGCAGGAGTTGCTAGTTTCCGTGTAACTCAAAGAGAGCCAACTGTGTGTCTGAGCAGGTGTTGCTAGTTTCCGTGTAACTCAAAGAGAGCCTACTGTGTGTATGAGCAGGAGTTGCTAGTTTCCGTGTAACTCAAAGAGAGCCAACTGTGTCTGAGCAGGAGTTGCTAGTTTCCGTGTAACTCAAAGAGAGCCTACTGTTTGTCTGAGCAGTCTGGTTAGTTGATTTTTGATAGCAGTGATCTGTTTAACATTCAATACTACCTACCTCTGTGTGGAGTCCGTCTACACTACCTACCTCTGTGTGGAGTCCGTCCTCTTCTATAAATATGCTTCTTTAGTATTTGAATCCCTGCACTTGTTTGATTGTAAACAACCGCATTGAATGTAATTGTTTTTCTAACTTATTCTCGTTTCAATCAATGGACAGACCCAGAAAGCTGACACCATTCACTGTCTCAGACAAGAGTGTTATTTATGTTATAAAGGTAAAGGTGAGAGAATCGATTTCATTGCGGCGGCGTTTATTCCATATGACTCAGTCTCTCTCAGCAAAACAGCAAGCTGCCTTCCGAAAGCATCGCACAGAGCACGACCTCCGTAGCTCAGCGACGATCTTCAGGGATCTTAGTGAAAACTGCACTCATGAACTGAACGGCTCTGCCGTGAAACGAACCCACGAGCTTCAGAGCGGGGGCCAAATACTTGACCACTTCACCACGGGCGGGTCTTGCTAGTCACACTCGCCATCGCCATGGGTTGTGAGTCTCATGCCTCCTTATAGCGCAATATAACACTATCGTCTGGAAAGACGGAAAGGTGCCAATGATGAAATGATGACCCCAAAAGTTCATATGCCATTGTGGTAACCACTATCCATGGTGGTGGGTAATTAAAGTGACCAAGTTTAGAAGTGGACAAACAACCAGAACATTTCGCCAGCTTGTACAGCCGGTAAACGAATATAAAAAAACCAAGTAAAAAAAAAAAACCACTCAGCGTACAGTAAATAACAGGTTTGCTGTGAATCTCATAAATAAAGACATGAACTTTAGTTTTTACCTTTAAAGAAGGAGATTGTCACACACTTTTTCTCACCCAAAGGACACGTACTTTGATTTGTTTTTTTTTTTTTTAACAAGGCATGTACACATTTCTAGAGAGGACACATACCATAATTTTTGCTTTTTTAATCTTCTGAAAAAGACTTGTACGTTAGAAATATATTTCTTATCATTTCTTTAGGATGTTTAACGACGTTAAAAAGATAAACCCATCGACGAAGACATTGCTGTCGATTGGAGGGCCTTCCCTGAAAGTGTACCAGGCATTCACCTCAATGTCTGACGCAGAAATCTACATCTTTGCCAAATCGGCGCTGCTGTTTCTGCGACACAGAGACTTTGATGGTCTTGATATTGACTTGTCTTTTCCTCATTGGTATCATCACAAAAGTACATTGGATAAAACTCTGCAGGTACCCTGTATGCGGTGTCTGTGGGTGCTTGTGTCTGTGCCTGTGTCTGTGCCTGTGTCTGTACGTTTGTCTGTACGTGTGTCTGTACGTGTGTCTGTGCGTGTGTCTGTACGTGTGTCTGTACGTGTGTCTGTGCGTGTGTCTGTACGTGTGTCTGTGCGTGTGTCTGTGCGTGTGTCTGTGCGTGTGTATCATGTGCTGCTTAAAAATTAAGGCTGCCTGCAAAATACTCCTGCCTCGTGTTTCGATTGTGCACTATCTCAAGTTGATGCTTGTCCAGCTCATCATGTTCTCCTCTGTTTGCATAGTTGTCTACCTTTTGCTTTCTTACTTTCGACTTTCTTTCCCCCTCCAGTATGGTTCACACAAATAAAAAAAAAAAAATTGGGTTTTGTGTCTATTTATGTGGCCATAGCATTTCAATTGGTGAAGAAAAGAAGGGATTCTTTCCTTCGCCAATTCTCTCTTCATTAAGTCTCTCCGGAAAATATGTGTCTGAATGTTACTGTTTCCATTACCTATGAAATATTCTTGTGTTTATTCACATTTCTAGAAACACAGTTCAATTTGTCTCATTGTTTGATTATTGTCAAGGTTTCTGCACCATGCCAACTGGTCGATTACACATAACATTCAACGATTTACATTTTTATCTGTCAGTATTTTCACATCTTGTAAAATCTTTCTAAGCCATTCCTATTTTTTAAATATCCATGTCCTTTCTGCCGTAATCAGTTATTACACGCTTAAAACAGGGAAACAAACATAATATTTTGATCATCTCCGTTTATTGCGATGTTCCCCGTTAGCCACAACTTGTAAGTTAGTTAATCTGCAGATTATCTTCACTGTACATCAGACAATAAACGCATGGATCTCATTGTCAGTATATTCCTCAGCGTGTGACGACTGATACCACCAGTTATGTGTTGTTTTACTATTCTTCTTTGACCGAAACGGCCAAATACTACCTTTATAATGCCACTTTTGCGGTATGGGCAGAGAGGTCTTTGAGCCTGAGGATTTACGGCCGCATGGCTAGTGCTGTCGCCATGACTGTGCAGGTGAGGATTTTATTTTACCACCGACAGAAGAAATCTCCAACCCTACCGAGGATTCGAACCCGGGTCTCCCGCTTGAGAGACCAGCGTACTAACTCTTTGGCGAGCCGCTTCTTTTTTGACTACCTTTTCCGCACCACGCTGTTGAATTTCTTGTTAACATGGTTTCAGCTCAGCTGCAGGAAACTCCTTAGGACAAGCGTAAATTGTTTTGTTTTTTGTGCATCCCACTAACCATATACATAATGTAGGAGGTAAATCCTCGCCATGCGTTCTTACCGGTGGTTGAAAAACACAATACTAACCCCTGCCATCTTGCCACGGAAGTGATTCTTTTCAGTTGCTAGTTGCCACAGATGTTGATTTGTGAGTATCATTATCTCAATGAAGACGCCAAAATAACCAGTCGAAACAGAGTAATAAATGACGTTATCAGACTGTCTTCTTCTTCTTCTCTTCCAACTTGTACCTCATCGATGTGTAGGGTGGAGATGTAATGTTCGTTGATAAGCTCTGTCAAGAGCACTTTCAAGACTGATGTTCATTTCTGTAATGCTGTTCCTAATGACGTCACTCCACATTTTCCGAGGTCTTCCACTCGCTCTATACCGGTTGTAACGCTTTAGTTTGGCTCGCTGTGGCAGATAATACCAGGGCATTCTTGTTAGGTGTCCAAACCACTTTATCTGTTGTTCTTTGATGACATGTAAGACCGACTTTATTCCTAGCATTCGTCTGATTTCATGATTTCCTTAAAGTCCTGCAGCTCTTCTAAGGCATTTCATCTCTGTTGTCATAATTTTACGTTCGTTGGAGGATGTAAGTGTCCACGTCTGGCATTGATAGCATAGTGTTGGCCAAAAAATAGTTCTGATAAGATTCACTTTAGACTGTGGGAACAACAAACATATGCACCAAATCCTCTGAGAAACAGAATAGCAAATGGTTTTTTCACCTTGTAAGAATGCAGCCACAACTACTAAAGAAACCTTTGCTACACCTGACAAGATGGTGTATGAGTTTAATAGGTTGTCCTAGAAGAACATAGATGGATGACATTAAAGACCTTTCAGTCGACATGGAATGAAAATAGCCATTGCTGCCCGTCGGGTTGTGGATCACAAACTGTTTCTGCGCCCGTAGCTTAACAGCCAAAATTTATAAATTGATAATGCAGAATGAATATCTAAACAATATTCGGCTCCCACATGTGTATGGTTGAACTAGATCTTGTAGCTTCTGCTCATTCACTGCTACAAACACTGTGTCATTAGCATATCTTGAATTGTTAATTATATAGACAGGCAGACAGATTGACGCACGGCCGGACAGAGAGAGAGAGAGAGAGAGAGAGAGAGACAGAGACAGACAGACAGACAGACAGACAGACAGACAGACAGACAGACAGACAGACAGACAGACAGACAGACAGACAGACAGACAGACAGACAGACAGACAGACAGACAGACAGACAGACAGACAGACAGACAGACAGACAGACAGACAGACAGACAGACAGACAGACAGACAGACAGACAAACGACAGCCAGACAGACATATAGACAGACAGAGAGGCTGACGGACGGACAGACATCTGCATAAGATTTAGGCTAAAAATCAGCAATCAATATTCTGACTGAAGAAGTATCATTTAGTCAAGGCTTACCATTGGCAATGATAGCTGGTTTTATTCCATACGGTATGGTCTTCTTCCGTGAATGACTTCTTGGAGCATCACACACAGAACTAACCTAGTAGCTCCAGTGACGATTTCTCTTACAGCTGCAGTCGTGATCCGATCGACATGGTCGGTTCGATCAACGCACAACTTTCAGAAAGCTAGGCAAACGGCTTATCTTTTTCATTGGTATATTGACCCTTTTCTACACCTTCAGGCATATCGAACACATAGAACCGGGCCAGTATTTTATAGATCAATCGCCACTTGGTGGGTGATGTGGTCTGCGCAACGCTGGCGGCCTTTACTTCCCAGGACTGTACCTAGTACCAATTTCCAGGCTGGGTGGGCCTGGCAGCCAAAGATTTTTGAAAACAAAAAAAAGTATTAAAATGTCAAATTCCCTTAGGACTTGAACCCACAACATTCCGATCGCAGGTGAACATCTAGCCACACCACGGCGGCCGCCTACTTTGCTAGTGATACATCCTAATTTTGTGTTTGTAATCTGTGCATGCCACGTTCACATTGTATCTGTGCAGCTGTTGAGACGAGAGTTCGACAAAGACACGGTTAAGCCATGCCTGTTGCTTACACTGACGGCCTCGGGTCTCGAAAGTGATATTCAGGCAATCTACAATGTGGAGAGTATTAAGGAGTAGGTCCTTTCCTGTTATTCCATTTCTTATTTTTAATCTTCTTCTACTTTAACATCATCATCAACATCATCATCAACATCATCATCAACATCATCATCAACATTATCATCAACATCATCATCAACATCATCATCAACATCATCATCAACATCATCATCACTATGATCATCATCGTCATGATCATCACCAGTATCATTTGTCATCATCGTCACATTCGTTAACACATTATCACCAGCATTATTCTCCTCTTGTTCTTCTTCTTCTTCTCGTTCCTCCCCTCCTTCTTAGTCATTTTTTTTTCTTTTTGTATAAAAATTAAAATAAAAAGATCCGATACTGCAAGATAAAATATAAAGATATGGAATATATAAACATACACGTTACATAGAAAATCATTGAAAATACGTTATAGAATGAAGCAATTACACTGTTGTGTGTGTGTATGTATATATATTTATAGGCGTTGCGAACAGGCTTCCTAATTCTAGGGTGCTCAGTTAGATCCAAGTCTCGCGAGATGTCACAGCAGAGCGTCTCTGTTTCGACTAATTTGTCGAGAGTTGACTGTTCAGTATTAGCAAACTAGCGAACGTACCAAGCGATGGTCTAATAATTGCTTGTAAATACTGACACCCTTGTGTCATCTGTTCCTCTTGGTAGTTACGTCGATTACGTCCTGGTGAAGTCCTACAATCTCTACCTGCCACAGATGTCTTATACCCACTTCAACAGCCCGCTGTACACCAGGCGAAGCCAACCAGAACAT